ACTTTTTATAAACCCTTCTTTCATATACTTATTGTTAGTTTTGACACAGATGGAATTCAAATTTTAAACACAAGATTGGAAGTTTAAGGTCAGACATGGACTTTTTCTTTCCATTAAAGCATTTTTTTTTTGGGTGCTGACTTTTTGCAAATCCAGAGTCAAATCAAAAACATGCTCGCACTCTCACATCCATGTGTCTCTGCCTCCTCTTTGTTCAGCTGGGTAAAAGGAAAATCTATAGCCAGCCACTCCAGTCCCTCAGGACCTTTTTCAATTTGCGGCATGGATTTCCCATGGCCGTCAAAGCTGTTTGAGACTGTGATGAAGGGTTTTGGCAAAGAAATATGCTGTGTAACAAGCCATATATAAGGCTATTGTAGGTCCACCACAGAGCTGGAAGTGTGGAGTCATTTAAAGTTCAGAGAGAAGCAGCGTGAGGCTGTAGGTGGCATATGCTGGAGGGAGGAAGCATTATTGACTGCCATTATAGGGACCGAATAGCTTATTTTACTCTCATCTATGTGCTGGAATGACTGGTGTAAACAGCTGGTAGTTGGTTATTTTTGTGTGAACAGCCACAGGAGGTAAATGTTTTTCATTGTGATGGACTGAAATCATTCCAAATTTGAACAGTGCTACTTAAGATTGGAAATAAAAACCCAATGGAATTTGGTGCTGTGGTTGAGTCTCAAAAACACAAATGCAATCTCACAAATTCACTGACACACATGCAATCAGGTTTGTGCGTGTTTTCCACACAACACAATGGTTTGGGGTATGTTGACAGACATCTGGGTCTCCCAAGGGATTTGAATGCCATTAGTTGAGTTGTTTATTCCTGTCCGGCCTCCTGGCATTTAAGGAGGAGCCTGTCTGTATAAAATCTGTAGATTACGGGCCATTTTTCCTTATCTTTATAATGCATTAGCTGGAAACATTATCCAGTTTGTGATGTTTTTTTTAGGTCCTTCTTTTTATCAAATGTCTGGATCTTGTTTTCATAGACAGTAGGGATTAAAAGTCACATCAAAAAAAAAAAAGAACCTATTCGTTTGAGATTTCAGTCTTGTCTACGTAGACATTAGCATGTCTTCATTTACAGTAAATTTAGTCCAAGTGATTTGTTTTTACAGTAGGAAGCCGCTCTCTTGATGCCAGTTCTTTGGCTGAGGGAGCAGCCTCAGAACCAAAGCCCATGTTGATCCTGCCAGTAAAGGTCACTGGTGGGGATAATTGATGGAAGGTTCCAATACACTGCTCTGCATGTGCGAATGAAACTGCTTTTGCCAATTTACATAGTTAGCTGCTTTTTGCAGCAACTGCCACCTCTAAACTGCCCAAAGTACAATGCTTGGCTCAGAGTTCAGAATATCTACAAAAAAGGATTGGCAAATTAAACTAATTTTCATAGGGGGATTATGTTTAGGTTTTACAAAAAGCAATATATTTCGTACAGTAATTTAACATCAATTTCCAAGAAAAAGTTTTAGTTTTTATGTATGCATAAGTATACATGTAATATAAAAGTATGTATGTATGTATGTATGTATGTATGTATGTATGTATGTATGTA